ATGGAGAATAACCTACTTTGGGAGAAATTACCTTTGTATCTACTCCTGAATCACTTCCTCAATGGATCAACACCCAGACTTTGCCTTTGGAGAACACCATTGCCTTGACACAAACAAACACAGGTTAAGATATATTTCTTAGGTCACTTCTACTCAAGAAGTGCACCTTTCAGGGCACAGAAACAGGACAAGATGCAGTGGTCAAATGCAAACACTGGCCAGTTCATGTCCTGCTTATGTTTAATTCTTATGTTTATGACAGTGTGGAAATCTACATTCTGTATCTAAATAAATGTCACTAAATTGTGACTTAATGATTCAAGTGTTGTTGTCAAAAACAAGAATTCAGTTGATATAACCAAGTCCACATCAGTCAAATAGGATGGTCACATCTGGCTCTACACAGCTTAATTGAAACAAAGGATTTTCCTTCACAAGGCATTTACAGATGAGAAATTTAAAATGATTCATTTCAAACAGTTTTTAAATGTGCAAAATGAATCAAAGTATAATAAAGATTTTTTTTTGCTAGAATAACAAGCTAAAACTATTTCTTTATATTTTAAATTTTGAGTCACCTGTCATGAGCCCTGGAAAAAAATTAGATGCAATGTTGTTTTTTTCTTCAAAAAGACCTAGCCCGTGGCCCTTGGCCTTTCTGCCTGCAAATGTAAATGTTTTTTCTGCATGCAAATTTGGCCAGTTTAACAGCAAATGCTGTTGACATGCAATTTGCATAATGAAACATGACTATAGGTATTTACTTACCCAACCCAAGGATATTTCTGGTACATTTTTCACACAGTATGGTAAAATACTAAATAACATTTAAATTTTAAATGATTAAATTAGGATTCTTTTTAGTGTTTTAAATATCCGAAACAACTGCCGTGGGTGTGATTATGCTGATGAAGTCAATATTGTAATGTTCCTCTAGCATACGATAAATCATAAGTCTGGCAAGCACAGCTGGTCAAAGATTGTGGTTTTAAGAGTTTCCGTGGTTCTAAAAGCTGTTATGTTGGCAAATGATCACGATTAGCCTCACATAAGGATCATTAAACTCTTCAGTTGTATACTCTGTGACTTGAAATCTGTGGTATGATTCTTGTGGCCTTTTTAGACTTAGATTTCAGTGCTTTTCAGACTATCTTGTTGTGATTATTATGCTTTAAAAGAATGGGGAGTATCTGAAAGTCCAAGTTACAGTATTCAGTAATGTTATTATGCCAAAGTTCAAGCTTGAGCATGCAAGAATGAAACTATTTTAGGGTATCTAAGGGAATGAATCTTGATTTTGTACTTTTACTTGTGACGTGAAATGAAAAGGAATTCAATCTATAAGTTTACTCAGCCTTAGACCTGTTTTACATTCATCTTCACACAAAACACCAAATGTCTTGTCTTTAGTTTGTACACCAGTTCCTCTTCATTTAGTAATTCTAAACGTACCCCTGTCAATCACTTGAATGTGAAATTGGAACAAGGGAACCATTTTCAAGCTGTCCATCTGTGACTCCAAAGTTCCTCCACAGACTTTAAGATTCTCCAGTTCAGTCTCTAGATTAATTTTCTGCCTCTAGGAAGGAAAGGGAAGTAATGAGAATTATTATCTTCTTTAACACATGAAGCTCTTAACTTAACTTCTTATCATAGCATGGTGCTATAGAAATAACCACAATAAAAAGAGCAATAGTTCATTGGGCACTGAAGTTGTTTATTATTGTTTATTTTGTTATTAAAAAAACAAATTTAATAATGTTAATGAGAATGTGAATTAAGGGTTAATGACAGTAAAAATACCACTCATTCCTAAAGATTCCTTGAAATGGGAAAACATAAAAACATGTAAATATTTATCCATTATTTTGTCATCACTTCCCTTTATCATTCTCAGGCATTTCTGATTTATGCTATATGCATTTCATCTTGAATTGTTGACTAGGTTAACAGGGGTAATGGTTAGTTAGCAATAACCGTTTAAATTAAACACCACAATTTCTGCAGAATTGCCAATAAGGTTTTAGATTTGTTTTTATTACCATCAAATATTCCATATTGTCATATGTATAATAAACAATAGTTATAGAATAGAAAATATACACCCACAAAAAAGAACCCTTCACTCCTCCACCTCCCCCAAAAAGAAAGTTTACATATAATAATACATAATCAAAACATCTGAAAAATGTAGATATACAGTATATTAGATATACATTCATATATACAGTACATTTATATGGTATTTCATATTTAGATTTCTCTAGAGAGACTATAATTTACTTTTGAATTATTATACTTACATTAATAAAATAACCATTAAATTAAACCATTATTACCTTTATCTTTCATTATTTCACATCATTTCACGTAATATTACTCTTTTTACTTTTCTACCATTTATCTTCAAAAAGCTTATTCTGATTCCTTATTGTATGTGTTATCCATTCCAATTCATAAACTTCACCAATTATTTCAGTCCATTTACTAATCTGAGGTGTTTATGGTTTAAGCTATAATCTTGATATCTGCTTTAAAGCAATTAAACAGGTACTTATCTACAATATTTATCTATTTCAGAAACCAAGGCCTGTGGTGTTCTTCCAAGAAGAAAGTTTTCTGGACATAAATAAAGCTTACATTTAAAAGTAAATTCTATAACTTTAATAACCTCATCCCAGAATCCTTTCAAAATATCAATCATCAATAAAAGCAATAGTGGAGAATTTTGTTGTAAGAAATACCACCAAAAAGGAATTATTTAGGTCACACTTTTGGTATTATTTCTACGTGTATTCCTTTCCACAAATATTTTCCTGCACTAAAGTGCTAAATGAAAAGCTTATGATTCAAATATCTTGTGGAGTAAATTAAACCTGAATGTTTCTAGGCACACTGGCTACCAAGCAACCAGCCACACAATGAAACATTCACATAGTTGCTTATCTTAATTCTTCATTTAATAGCTACAGATCCAAGTGAAAACACTAGGTCTTAAATAAGTCCATGAACAGCACAGCTTGTTTTATTGATTTAAAATCAGGTTTCTTCAGGAGTACCCTTACTATTTTATATTACATATAACCGCCCAAGTGAAACTTTGATGGAATCAATACTTGAGTAATGCTTGGAAATGAAGCCACCATGTGATTTTATATATTAAGACTGGCACTAGCGGTCGGCAAAGTTCTCTATCACTTGTAAATAGACTCACCGGCTCAAAATCAGTTTAAATTATTAGATTATTGGTTAGAGCCCAAATTCTTTAGGCTGTAGTTTTAGGCTGAAGGCTTGAGGAGACTGCTAGAGATTAACAGAAAATGGGGAGTCTCTTTAGAGTTTTTTATAGGTCATCCTCATTAGTTTTTATGTGCTTTTATGTGTGATTCCTTGAGCCACCTTATCTTAGGGTGTGATTTGCCCCAGTGTACAGAATATTTCCATCACCTGATCTTTGTCTTTTACTTTAACATTATTATATAAGCTAGTTTTTGAGAAAGTGTCTAAAACTTTCCCAGAGAAACCTGACAAATTTATGTAGACAGTATTTACAAAGTTTTAATAGCTACATTTGTACTTTGACATTTCCCATGTAAAACATGGCACACAGTTCTAAAGAACTGTTTAAAGAAAGCTTACCTGCAACTCTTGCAAGTGCTTGTTTAGATTTTCATGCTTTTCCATCTCTCTGTCCAAAGTAGCCTTCAATTCACTTAGTTCAAACTCTCTTACTAGGGAGACAAAAATAAGACCATTTTTATTTTTTACACAGAATTGTAGCCTAATTTCTAAATGTTAAGAACTTAAGGGTTCTCAACTCAATGCAGTAAGTAGGCATTTTATTGTTTAACCCAGTGTGTCTGATTTGTTACTGTTTTCTCCAAATCTGTGCCAGAGAACAAAGAACTAAGAACAAAGTATTTGATTTACTGATTGTTTAATCCACTCAGTCATTTCTGATACTTACTCTTTTTGTAATCCCCTATTTATAACAATATTATACAACTGAATGATTTTCACATAATTTTCCATGTTTGAAATTATATTATTTCAGCTTCTATATGTAACATTCTGTTTGTCTTTTTATTGGTTATTGTTTAGAAAATGTACAGTACATGATGTGTTGACAAACTCCTGTCGTTTTCAGAAGTAACACTCTACATTGATGCAGTTAAATGCTGTTTAATGTCTGTCCAGTCTTGATTTCTATCTAAATATTTTTAAATTTCATTATCTTGTGGGAAACTGGCTGTGGTGTAAGTGTTTGTGTTTGTGTCTATGCTTTTCATCCAGAGTGTATCTTGCCTTGTGTCTGTTGCTTGCTGGGACAGACTCTGGCTCCCCTGTGACCGTGTATTGGATGAAGCGGTTTGAAAACGGATGAATGAATTTTAATTTTCTTCAGTGTTTGGTATCATCTGCAAACTTCACTAGATTTTTCAATATATAAGATACTAGACTGCTGATATGAGGTTCCAATACAAATTTCTGTTGTACTCTAATACTTACATCTTTCCAATTTGAGTATCCCTTATCTGTACTCATGATCATAATGAAACTAAATCACAACTTAATATGAACACTGATTACCTCTCAGCTTGGTACATATAAGTATTATAAACAAATAACAGCATTTTACTAAAAGCAATACTAACATTTTTTGTGCAATCTATCTAGATTTTATAAGGACTTTTAACCCCTTTCAGGGCTCTAGTGTTTTCAAGAGCAAGTTGAACTAGCATTGGAATAAGGGGTATATGAATATTAATTAGCTCTGACCATTTGAATTTCAAATACTGTGAAACAGACACAGTTAATACTGTATCCACTTTAACCAAACAAGAATAAAAAAACTCCAAAGACTACAATTAATAGAACATCTGGTAGCACCCCAGCTGCCAAAGTGCAATTTCATAACCGTTTCAAATAGCAAGAGTTTCTAGGAAAGACACAGATGTGATGAAACATTCACTGACAAATAAACAAATGGTTTTCAGCTGTTCTAGGTTTAAATAAAGAAAATCAATAAAGACTGTTTGTGTTAAACTTAGCTGTACAATGCTTCACAGAACCAAATAGTAAGAAATAAGGTCCACTAGTTTATCATTTTCATGAATTTTATATTTTCAGCCATGAACTTGCTTAACTTACTGGTTGATTAAGGGTTGACCTCCTACAGCCTCATTTCTGTAATACACAGTAAAATGTCAGCGTCTGACCTTAACTATTTTTGCAGCTGGTCAGCTACTTAAAAGTTGCAGAGCCAGTGAGTTCTAGAGGACAAACATCTACCTGAGCAATCACAGTTAGAGCATACAGTAGCCCAGGAAGGGTCAACTTGGCCCTCTGCAATCCAAGCAAATTTTCTTGCTCTGGGCCTTGGAGAGAGATCACTGGTATTATACTCTTTTCTGCTCCCTGTTCAGGAATTGCAGCAATTCTAAACCATTCTATTTTGTTTGCGTCACCCAGGTGGGTGTTAAACTTCAGTGGCAGATGAAGTGCTTTGGGGTCCTGTGGGATGCAAGTGCTCTACAAACAGAAACATACTATACTGTATAATACAGTACGTGCAGTGCAGTCAGAGTGTGATATTTTCCTCTGTATTTAAATTTAAACAAAAACCGTTGTGTAGTTTGAATTTTTGTCACACTCTATTTCTATCTCTAACCTTAAACAGAACGGGCTATACAGTAAATAACTCCACCTTAAAGGCAAGTTTGGAAAATAACTTCGCCTAACTTCAGAGTGTCATAGCAAAACTAGAGAACTGGAAAGCAACAAACTTTTCTCCTTTACTGCAACTCATGCGAACAAAACAGCATATTTGCACATCTGCATTTCTTCAGGACCATATACTTACGCTTCATCTGTTTGATGAGAAACTCCTCCAGCAAGCTGATGTCCACTGAGGTAAAGCTGTGCTGGGAGGTCAGTCCACACAGATGGGCTAGGTCTGTCTCTTCCTCCTCCTCTTCCTCAGACTCATCATCAGCTCCCTCCAGTTCCTCCTCCTGCTCTTTGCAGAACCCCAATGTCTCCTTCTCAAACTCCTCTAGGAGCAAGGCCAAGACAAAAGCACTTATTTAATGCTTACTTGGCTTGTGTCATGTTAAATAATAAAAAAATGCATTGGTATGATAAAAACTGAGCATGTATTTTTTTTTTTTTCATGATTAAAATGTGTGAGAAGGTGTCATATTATCAGTAATCTTTCCTTCCTTTCATGTGTTCGGATTTGCAAGGCTGCAGTGCATCTGGGAGAGATTCAAAACAACACATGTTCTATAAGACGTACTGTAAGTACACCCAAGCTGTCCAGTTTGTTTTGCAGCCACAGTGCCAGGAATAAAAGAATGGACTAGAACCAGCAATCTTCCGGCTACGGCACACATCCTGCAATCTGGCCTTTATGAGACAAGCAACTGCTTTAGTTTTAGCTGCCCTAGGTATAGGACATCTAGGCAGTCACAAACTCACTGATGCGATCCATCAACCTAACCAATGTTCTTTTGTCCAATCTATCCTTTATGACTGAAGGGGGACAACTCTGTGTGGTGGTTAGGACACTGTTGATTGCAAGGTCATGCATTGGCATCCTCACTGTGCTCACTGCTGTTGTACACCTGGGAACCCTATTGCTCCAGTTCTCCAGTACAAATAGGTACCAGCACTGCGGTTAGTGGTGGAGGGGCACATATTGTACTCTCTGTCTGCCTCACACCTTGAATCCAAGGATAAATTCCACTATAGACCTCTAGGTTAGAGATGGCCAAACTCTATGGCTCTTGCTATGACTGAAAAAATTACACTTTGAGGTTCTTTGCAAATAATTAATTTCAACTAAAAAGGAATAAAGAGAAAGCCTGGCTAAAGAAGAGAAAAATGCCATGAATACAATTACAGTGTACACATACTTCATTCTGGGGTCCTTAGAAATATTAATAGTCCTAAAGTGCAAGTGCCTTCCATTACAATAAACAAATGTCTTTAACAACTTATTGAGGAGAAACTAGTATTGAGTGCATCATAAGACTCAAACTTTGCCAGCTTCATGCGTATATCTCTACACCTTTAAACAACTTACAGTAGCAAACTGTGCAAAACCATGGCTGGTTGCATTTGCAAGTGTATACTGCCATCTACAGTAAATCTAATGTCCTAACATCCTAACACTGTGATTTCAAAGTGAAAGGACAGTAAACCATTAGTTTAAAGGACTTCATTTAATGGACAAATCTTCTAAAGGGGAATTCTGTCTGTAAAATAAGAAATACCAGATTTTCCCCACAATAAAGTTGGAACGCACAGATAATAAAACAAAGTACAAAGAAACACTAGATAGGTTTAAAATTCAGGAATATCAATGGAGTCCTAAAGGGGTTGGTTAATTGCTTAGAGATATGTTGCTTGTGTTTCATAGCTTCAGTGAATTTTAAACAGTTGATTT